AAGCTCGCGGGCGGAAGGGTTGTTATTTCCGAAGAAGTCAATATGAGGAATAAAAACCACAGCTCACATGAGACGGATGCAGTCAGATTCTCAAGAGTGTCAGTCCAACAACAACTCGGGGATGGTATTAAAAACCAACGACAGCTGCACAACGCTCACTGCGGCACGTAGGATTAGATTAGGAGAGGAAAGTCTCCCAGACGATGCAAAGTACTACACATGCATGTTGGGAACACATTTGTTGCCGGTTCGGATGGTAGGGTCGAGCATCGTAGGATAGTTTTGCTGTGGTAGTGTGAGTGCCGTCGCCAGTGATTGTAGTGTTTCTGCCATCGCTGGTGGCGGTGGCAGCGGCGGTGTTGAAGAGTATGGTTATGCCTCAAGGTAGGAGTGCATTTAAGTATGCCCCAAACGAATACATGGTCTCCCTCGCATTAAGCAAGCACTTGCAATGAGTCGACACCGCACAGCCTCCGCTATGCAGGCGAGGCGGCGTGACCTTGCAGGGGGCAGACCTGAGCTTGTAGTGTAGGAGCTGCACAGGGCGTAGCTGTAGCAAAGCCGTCTCACAGCTGCGCAAAGCACTAATAACATGCAGATATAATGTAGGCAGCCAGAAAAGGCCCAATGTTGCTGACCGAGCAGATGAACCTGCAAGCCTAGAAGAGGGGACGACTGCAAACAACCCGTATTGGAGATACAGTGGCTGTGGACAGTCAGCCAGTAACGTCAAGGCTTGGCTTTCAAGCCTTGAGCAGGCAGCCTGAAGGCGAACATGCCGAGTGGTAAAAGCGTGCCATGAGCAGCTCAAGCTTGCAGCTTCCTGCTGCAGCTTGGTTTGTATGGCATAGCACTGAGGATCTTCTGGCTGCGGAAATCATTTGGAAGCCAGGCGCCAAGCAAGGAAAGGTACAGAAAGGCAGTATTCAGCACTCGGCACTAACAGACTGCACAGTGCTCGGCAGACATTTGTGGCCGGTTTCCTGCAGACTCCTCACTGTAACCCGTCAATAATATCTTTGTAGTTGCTCAAGCAGGAGGCACCAGGCGCAGCATGAGGGGGTTGCCACACAAGCTTTGGCAATCAAGGCCGCACAGGCTTTGCAGCTTAAACAAACATGATTTGAAATGATAAGATTAAGAACTTCATGTTCTCTCAGATTTCATGGCCCTCGCCCCTGAGGTTGGACGGTGGCCCTGGTCAGGAAGAAGTTTGCAGCGTGCACCTTTGGACTTGACCCCAGCTTCCCCATGGCATGTTGTAGCCATATTGGGACAAAGACTGAGCAGATGACAGATCCCCAAGGCCGGTGTCAAGATTCGGCATGTTCAGTGCCAACATCTCTGTGCCAGGTTCTCAGTTGAAGTGCTTGAGGGTCCTTCCGGCTTGAAGGACTTTTTACAAGACCGAGCCTCCAGGATACCCTTGTACAGTGTATTCTACGCTTCAAGGACCCCGAAGGTCCCGGCTACTTTAAGAAGCCGCACTGTTGTGACCCAGCCAGCGATGACACTGATATAATCATAGCTGCGTAGCCGTGGTCACCAGAACTCAGATTCAGGCTAAACCCAAAGCCCCTAAATATCCCTAAATCGTGTGATTGTCAGTGGCTTACGCATGCGCCACCTTGGTGCAGCTATCAGACCCAAAACCCACCGCAATATAGACCCAAAAATGCTGCCCCTAATTTTGGGAAACCCTCAATCTTTGATTCAGAAGTAGGCCAGCTGATAGGGCCCAAAAGGATTCCAACAAGTTTCCTCAGCGCTTCTACACGGAGCCTTGAATCCTTGAAGACCCGAACATCCGAGGCCAGAAAAAGCCT